AGCCTTGAGACAGACTCTTACTTTGTTGCCCTTGGCAGAGTGCCAGGGTGTCATAGCTCATAGAAACCTCAAACTCTTGGGTTCAAGCAATTCTCTTGCCCTAGCATCCTGAGTAGCTGGACTACAGGTGCCTACCACAATGTCCAGCTATTTTTAGAGATGGGGTATCACTTTTGCTCAGGCTAGTCTTGAACCTGTGAGCTCAGGCAATCCATGCATCTCAGCCTCCCCAGAGTGTTAGGATTATAGACATGAACCACCTTGCTTGTCACACAAGCAAATTTTTAAATATAGTATATCCCCCCGCCTTTCCCTTTTCAGAAATGGGAGCAGCGTGTGTATACTGTTGTGTGCCTTGTGTGTTTTCTTACCAGAATATCTTGGAGATAATGCTATATCATTACCTAAAGAGTTTTTTTTTTTTTTTTGGCCCGGGCTGGGTTTGAGCCCATCACCTCCGGCATGGGGGGCCGGCGCCTTCTTCCTCTGAGCCACAGGTGCTGCCCTAAAGAGTTCACTTTTTTCAAATGTTGGATAAAATATAATTTTTGAGGCATTAAATTTTGTGTGTTTGTCCATCCTAATCAGAAATTTTGTTCTAGTATTTTAAAGGGGAAGTATTTTACTGTGATCTTTTCCTGTTTTAACAGAGCTGTGTTGCTGCTTTCCTTGATGTTGTGATTGGGGGCCGTGCAGTGGAGACCCCTCCAATGTCTTCTGTTAATCTTCTGGAAGGGTTGAGCAGAACTGTGGTCTATATAACCTACAGTCAACTTATTGCTCTGGTAATGGCTTTATTGTTTAATAGGATTTTCTCCTGTTAAAAATGTCTTTTAGCTAAGTAGATAGAGATGTAGATGAATACATGGTGTGAGAAATATATATTGCGTTTGAAATACTGATTTCACTAGCTAATGTCCTTTGTCAGGTGAATTTTATGAAGAGTGTGATGTCTGGAGATCAACTAAGAGAAGATAGAATGGCTCTTGACAATTTATTGTCAAACCTGCCCCAGGCCAAGCCAGGAAAAAGCAGCAGTTTAGAAATGACTCCCTACAACACTCCCCAGCTGTCTCCAGCAACCACTCCAGCAAATAAAAAGAATCGACTACCTATAGGTAATGAGAGTGTTTCATATTAGAGATTTCCTTTAAATCTAATATTTCTTTATTTATTATTGCTTAGTGTTTTGGAATATTGTTTAAAATACTATGGAAAGTATGGGTTACTAATGGAAGTTCAATTTTTTTTTTTTTTTTT